CATCTTACTTGATACGTATGTGTATAAGGCGGTTTGTTTCTTCACTGTATCATGGACATCTTACTTGATACGTATGTGTATAGGGCGGTTTGTTTCTTCACTGTATATTGGACATCTTCCTTGACACGTATGTGTATAAGGCGGTTTGTTTCTTCACTGTATCATGGACATCTTACTTGATACGTATGTGTATAGGGCGGCTTGTTTCTTCACTGTATATTGGACATCTTCCTTGACACGTATGTGTATAGGGCGGGTTGTTTATTCACTGTATATATTGGACATCTTCCTTGACACGTATGTGTATAAGGCGGCTTGTTTCTTCACTGTATATTGGACATCTTCCTTGACACGACTGTGTATAAAGTGGCTTGTTTCTTCACTGTATCATGGACATCTTCCTTGACGTGTATGTGTATAAGGCGGCGTGTTTCTTCGCTGTATATTGGACATCTTCCTTGACACGTATATGACGCCTGGTATTGTACTTTCGATTTACCCCTTTCCGAGGTTGCTGACGAGAGGTGAAATTAACCGAAACCGTTGTAGCTCAGTGACAAGTGGTGAAGTGAATGATAGATTGGACTTCATATTTATTTTGATTATAGGTGTATGTTTTTAGATTTTCCAAACATTAATTCTGTATCACAAAAATTAAAATATGCCAAGTACCTTGAAATAATAGATTACAGAAACAACTGGAAAAAGTAATGGAAGAAATATTTACATTAATAATTTTTTTATATAGCTGAGTTTTTAATGAAAACGTCTATTATGCATCATTTATAACACACTGTAGCGTACAAAAAACTTTTGGAAAGAGAGTTATTTGACAAATTTAAGAGTTGTAGTGCAGGTAGAAAAGCATTATAATTTTGTTAACATAATAATGCAAAATTAATTTTTACTAATTTAAATATATTAATTTTACATTAATTACATATTTGTAAATCATTTAATAGATTTAGCAAAAAATATAAGCTATTGATGAAAATAAAATAAATGTCTGAAACGATTTGTTTGTAATTAAGCACAAAGCTACACAATGGGCTATCTGTGCTTCACCCACCACGCGTATCGAAACCCGAATTCTAGCGTTGTAAGTCCACAAACATGCCGCTGTGCCGCCGGGGGAGGGGGATCTGAAACGAGCTGAAGAGCTCAGGATTTCACAAGTTTTTAAAATAAAAAGGGAAATAATTAGAAAAGGTATTTGCATCAAGCATTAAAACTTAATAATATTCCAAATAAGATCATTATTTAATGGTAAAAATATATATAAAATCGGCATTAAAGAAATGTATAACTGATATTGATGAACCTGAAAATCTATTCACAGTATGTACACGAACTTACAGCGTTATAAATGATTAAAATAAGTTGTCATATAGTAAATATTTTATTATATGCATAAATATTATATATTTGATATGTATTTATGTATTATTACTTATGTATTTACGTATTATAAATAATATTTATTACAGTTAGCTTTAGTTTACAAGGCGAAGACGATCTAGTAAATATTGTGGATCAGAATGTATAGTGTAAAATGTTTGTAAAATATTCAATAAAACTTTTAAAATAAATATACAAACCTGACCTCCATTTTTTGGCTTTTTTTCCTTCGGTTATGGCCCGGCATGGCCAGGTGGTTGAGGCACTCGATTCGCAATCTGAGGGTCGCGGGTTCGAATCCCTGTCACACCAAACATGCTCGCCCTTTCAGCCGTGGGGGCGTTATAATGTGACGGTCAATCCCACTATTCGTTGGTAAAAGAGTAGCCCAAGAGTTGGCGGTGGGTGGTGATGTAGTCTTACACTGCTAAATTAGGGACGTCTAGCGCAGATAGCCCTGGTGTTGCTTTGCGCGAAATTAAAAAAAACAACAACAACCACCTTCGGTTATATTCTTTGGGAGGGGAGGAGGAGTAAATAACCTACATGGAAAAGTTTTAAATCGTGGGACTTTGAGAATTAAGTGCTCGCAACGTACAACTGAGAATGATTATATAACGAAATAAAATAATGTAATTTGTTGACTATAATTTCCTAATATATATTTAAAATAATTTAACACACACAAAATTAACTAGTGGCGTTGTTTTATTAAGAAAGTGAGAACACTCATTGTTTTTAAACTAAAGTGCATGATATATAAAATATAAATTATCATTCATGAATTAACTTTTAATTCGTTATATCACATAATTTCTCATCACCGAAACCTATGTTATAACGTACTACCTATAATTGTAATTTGTCTGTTAAAACTCTGATGCAGTTCATTGCTTCCCTCCCTAATTCATGCACAGGTATGTAACATTGACCACATAAGTATGGAAAATTATAAAACAGAAACGTTTCTCACGTGCCAAGTACACATTATTGTATCGGAGCGTTTGAAATGCACGGTTCTTCTTTTTATGGCCCTTGGCAGCTGCAGGGCGTTGCTCATTTCAATGTGGTATAGGTACTAATGATTACTTGTAAAAGCCCT